AAGAGCGGTCACAAAGTAAGTGTTGCTTAACAGGAGGGAGCAAGGACTTTGGTGCGGCAAAGGAAACAGAAAAGCCGCCCTCTAACACAAGCTGGAGAAGGAGGTGCAGGACATCTCTCTGGTTCAGATCATCAGACCAGAGGAACACGATAGTCACCTGGGACTTCAAGTGTGCAAGATACTCATGAAACCAAGTTTTACAAGAGCACAAATGTTACAGGGAACTTCTTCTTGAAAGATTTCTCCTGTCATCTGACTCAGACTGAAAAATAAAACCCAGGGGGCTTCCTGGTGACAGCCTAGAAGGAATCCATCAGTGGCACATACACAGCAGGAGCTTCTTTGGCCACTTGTGCAATTTATTCCCCTGAAAAAGCCATGAGTTTTCACTTGAAGCTTTCACACAGTAACAACAGAAAAGAAGGTGATTCATTTAATGAGCGACCAGCTCTCACGAAGCTGGAGGAAACCCCTGGAAAAAGTATCCTTCAGGTGCTGGTAACAGAGTCTAACTAGGCAACAACAGGATCATAGCTCAGGTGTGGTTCCATTTTACTGATGACTAAAGTAATCCTAATACGTCAGTTGAAGTTACTGCCAATTCATTTGAGGAAATTTTGTTTGTTTGTTTAGAAAAAGATTTAATTGGGGAGGATGAGTGATACTGACAGTAACAATAATTCTTCTGTCTGTGCTGGTGCTAAACCACGCGGTGGAAAATCCTTGCTAATGCTAGATTGATCAGCTAACACACAGCAGCTCCGCTCTTCTAATTTGTTTTCTGTAGCTGACTTCAGACAGCACATTTCAACCCAGACTATTTTGAGGATCTATGTAAAATTAAGTCACTGCCCTGTTAGTGTGGCTAAACAGGCATATGAATGCTACTCTGCTACAAGCAAGACACAGTTCATCTGATGTTTTTTCAGGCAGAGAGAATACACTGCATCTGGAACAAAGAAGAAAATGTGATTGGAAAGTTTAGAGCCCTTAAATTAATTCCCTAGACAAAAAGTCGAGGCACCGTATTCATAATATCATGTTATGTAACTTGCTCTGGAGCCAGGCAGCTACTAAGTAAAATACTATGAGTTATAAAAACAAAATATTGTTGTGAAAACAATTTTACAACTTTATAATTCACTATTATTTTCATTTAAGAACAAAACTGGCAGTATAATTGCAGATTCTGTTTGCCTCGCAGGAGTTCTTTCAGCTTGTGATAGGAAACCTCTTCTTCTTTTTTTTAAACTTTTTTTTTTCCAAAGTCTGTTATTTAATTTACTATATTGTGTTTCTTTATAGTTATCCAGAGGTGAATCCTAACAGGGACCCCACTATGTGTGGGCCTAAGTTAGTTTAGTACCAGAATATTTATGATCAGTAAACCTAACCATATATTCTAAATTATTTCTTACCATTACTCTTGGAGGAAAAAACATTACATCAGCAGCCATCACAGACTATTTTCTGCTCTTTATAACTGAATATCTATTTTAGGTGGGATCCTACACAGCTTGCACTGTTCACTATGCACCATGACCACTTCCTAACTTGGCTGCTTATAGAAGTACTAGGCTCAAGAGTCTAGTTGTAGACAACCATGCCTACCAATGGAGAAATGAATCATCTTTGAAACTGTGCACAGCTCCCTACACAAAGTGGTGCTTTAGCAACATAGCATTACTGTAATATGTGTACTTGTGCCATTAAGAACTGGATGAAGACCACAAATATGCTTCACAGAGGTCAGTGAAAGAGGCCCAAAGAGTTTCACACCAACAGGGCAGCCAGAGCCCTTCTCACCTCGAACAGACGAGCCACCCAATGACACCGAGAAGCTCCTCGCTCTCCCCAGCTCTCCTAATTGATTGGGGCCTAAGCTTGGGCAAGTTTCCCTACTCACTCATGTCCTAGCTTCATTGTAATAAACCTGACAATAACACAGAGGTTATTTGATAGAAGAACAGCTTCACCACGTGCTCTGGTGCCTTGGCTTTGGAAGAATTACTATGTGGTTGGACTCAAGTGAATTTTAAAACGGAAACAGCTCCTCCAGTAATCAGCAGCATCATCACACTCAACAGTCAGCATATGCCTGCGAATAAAGTGGCACTCACTTTTATGGGTGCTGCTTTCTGAACTGCAAGCTGTAAACCAGTAGCAAGGCCAAGTGTCCTTGCCTCATCGTGCTACAGACCAGGCTGCCCACCAAGGACCCTAGCCCAGCCAACCCCAGGGTTCAGTTAAGCACTATTGCTCAAAAACCACACAGCCTCCTCATCAGATGTTCCTTTCCACCTATAGGTAAATACACGCTCACTACATTTTATGGCCTCAGATACAAAATGCTCATCTGTTACACTGTAAGATGATCTGGCAGTTTTTGTCAAGGTGGACATTTGGTTATGAAGAGTTAAACAGCACAGAAACAGCCCTTAATTAACTTCAAGGTTGCCCCATGCCTTATCATGTATGGAGGCATTGTCCTCAGCTTATTTTAAGAAGGAGCAAGAAAGAACATCCAGGTATTATGCCAAAAGCCTCTTTCTCAATTATTCCTTTTACATTACTAACCCATTGTGGCTGAGTACAGGGTAAAGCTGCAAAAGCTGCATCCTGAAGCCGTAAATTTAAGTTGGTTTCTCAGTATATGCTGACCTGACTTACTCCTGTAACTGCAGGCTCCCTGTTATCTTTAACTTCAAGGTAATTGTTTGGCAACTCGTTGTTTCTCTGTTTCAGGAAAGCACCTCAAATATATGATTCCTAAGAGACAAATCTGATTAATTGCTCTGTCGTCAGCTGGTTCCTGCTAGTATATGTAGTGCTTAAATAATACAAATATAATACAAAGAACAAACAGTAAAGTTCTGAAACAAAAATGTTAAACATATTTCAAGCTGAGAATTGGGCTCTTTCAAAAGTTTAGGGTATAAACCAGACTGTGTTGGATTCCTGCAGCCAGGATAAGCACGCCATGCTCAAAACACCTCTTTGCACTATTGCCAGAACCTTTTCACCCGAAAATCCTGAAGAACTCCACACAGATTTTGATGCAGAGATTTATAATATCTTGAAGAGGAAAAAAGTCATTCTCAATGCCACAGAGTACCACCGAGTCCTAACTCTGAGCTTCTCATCTCATCGCTAGACACCACTGCCTTCTTCCCCTCCTCCTCATTTTAACAGCATTTAATTTAATCCACCCAGAAGCTAGGACGGAGTCAGCAGATGAAATACAGCTAGTGCTGCTTAGAATTCGGAATTACTGTTTTGTGAAGAATGTCAACATTTTGACATTTGTTGCTATTCTCAGGGTAGAAAGGAACAGCATATTCATCTCAAAATTTTGAAATGTCACGTTGAAATCACAAATTCACTCTGAATTTTGAAATTTCACCTTTTATTTCATTTTACATTAGCCTTCTGTCTTTTTTAATTCATTAAATGCCAAAGTAGAATATTCTAAATAAGCTTTTTTCATTTTACTTGGTTTTGCTTTATTTCAGCATTTTAAAACTATAGGAAGCCACTGTCTCACACTAATAGAAAACCAACTTCAGCCATCATTTTGCACAGTCTCTGAATCCCATTGAGCGGAAATTTTTGATATGTGACTTTTGGGCAGAGGACACTTGGGCAGAGATATGAGATTCTGGGGGAGAAGACACTCAGGGGGAAGCAGGCAATGGACAGCAAGCATCCTGCTTTTCTCCACAAGCAAAAAGCAACACTGAGAAAGAATATATCCCTGTGACAGCAGGAGGGAATCTGACAGATTGCATTTATTCATCTGCAGAGAACAAAAAATTCCTAGTCACTAGATTAACAGCAAACAGCAAGAGCATTAGTCTCAGTTCAAACGCAAGTGCCGGAGGTATCTACTTTATGTGAGTGATGGCAGACTGTAAAAATTATTAAACCAGTACAAGAGAAGTGCATCAGTCATGGCAAAGAACACTGGTGAGCAGATGTTTCGGAGGCAAAGATGAAACTTCCAAGCGAATGTCTCCATCGCAGGTATTAAATCAGTGGAAAAACTGACAAAAGCTGTGTAAAATGAGAAAACAGCAAGCCGTCACAGTCCTCTTTTGGGCACTACAAGTTTCATGAGACCGTGTCGATGCTGGTTGCAGCAGGCAGCAAAGAAACGCCACCTCCAGCAGTGCGGAAACGATGCGGTGGTTGAGGTCTGCTAATCATGAGCGGTCACCACCACCTAAACCATGCCAAAAGCATAAGCTGCATCGTTAATTTTACCTCCCGATTTCCAGCTGTCTCCCCATTTAATTTCCAGGGCACTCACCCAGAACAGCGCACAACGCTGAAGGGCTGTCTGAAGAGGAGGTCATGCTCCACACGCACCCATGCCTGTATATATGTAAATGGAGACAACGGGACTCATGGCTGGTGGGGGCTAAGCATGTTAGGGAACCTGTACACTTGTGCCATGTTAGTGGGAACAGACACAGCTACCAAAGCAACACCGCTCCCTTACTCCTTTCAGCAAATCTGCACCAAAGGAACATGGATTGCCTGCTGTAGGTGACCCTGCTTTGACAGGGAGGTTGGACTAGATGACCCACAGAGGTCCCTTCCAACCCCTAACATTCTGTGATTCTGTGATTTGGATGCTATACTAAATCAGAGCTACAAGATACTTATGTCCTCCCCAAATTGGCAGACTGCTCTCAAGAGATCAATGCTTTTGTTAAGATTTCCACCACTCTGGATCAAGACCACAAGCTGTCTCAAGTGATTTCAGTGGCACCCCGTCTGGATGCTGAAAATTTGCAGGTCCCTTTGAGAGGGAATGTGGTTCCCCAGGGCTGTGAGTAGATTCAGAAAGAGGAAGGAGAATACAAGGGATTCGAGATCTAGGAAGAACAGACCTCCCAGGTGTCCACAGTGGCCACCTCTCAAATACACCAGGAGCCACATGAGGTCCCTGAAAGGTCCACAAAGCCATCTGGGAGACATGCAACAGCGTCTCAAAAACACTCCAACATGACCAAAACCAGTGAAAAGACCTAGACCTATTTGGAGATATGAGAGTTTGACAAGGGCGTTTTAATCAGTGCAGCACAGAAACACTTAATGACAGCTGAGCTGGTCAGTGGTGGGAGTTTCATCAACTCCATTTTGGCAACAGGGCAAACCTGCAGGAATTCTCCATGTCAGAAACCGGCTTTGCCACTTTTGTTTTCTACTGTGGACATCTTGGTGCCAGAAATCAGCATACTTAACGAGTCGCCCTGGTCTTGTTCTCTCTGGCCTTCAGGAGGGAAGAAGCTAAGAGAGAAGCTTCAGGTTTTGACTTGGTCTTGAGCGGGCACAGCACCACTGGCAACGAGGCCGAGAGGAGCCAGTCACATCACACGTTTCTGCGATGGTCTCATAACTCCACTCTTGCTCCTACAGAAACCCCCACCACCTACCACCCAGAGGAGAAAGCTCCTGAGGCTTTTGGCCAGGATTTTTTTTAAAATTTAAATGAGGACATGCACTACACCAATTCATTTCCTAAGTAGGACTTGGGCATTAACGCTAGACGGGGTGCTACAAAAGACTAAAATGCACAGAGGTTTCGCATGCATGAGTCTCACTTCCATAAGTGGCCCTAGGACAGAATGCAACACAGCGTTGTGTGTGAGTAAAACTCATTGTTCTCAGTGGGCTTTAACAACCAGTACAGATTATTTGCTGTTCCCATACCATTCCAGATTTATTTCGGATCAGCAACAACTTCAACACGATTAGTACACAGCAAAAAACACAGAGCCACAGTACCATGAACCTATTCCTAGCCGGAATGCAAAATAGAAGCATTCTTTCTTATTTTTTTTACCCTTTAAAAACCCTAAACAAATTTAATGAAAAACTTCATCTCTCACATTGATGGAACATGGTATGTATTAGAATTAAGGGCCATGAACTTCTAATCTGAGATGGATTTGTTACAAGATCCTTAATATTTTGCACACAAAGTGCGTTCAGAATTAAGAATGCATTTTTTTGAACACATTTAGAAATTGGTTTATTTTTTAAGATCATTCCCTTGTAAGAAGAAAAATTCCTAAAGGTCTTCTTACATTTTAAGTGATACATGTAAGTGCCTGCTTCTTACACCAGCTTCTCAAATCAAGTTCCTTAACTGAAAGGCCTCAAACCAGCCTGGAAAAAGCAAAACACAACAAAATGCAGAAGCCAGTTACGTTTAAGAAAATATATTAAAATTCACATTGTAGCCAACAAGTCAAATTACAGTGACAATTCTGCCTATCAGATATCTGGCTCTAATACAGCCTTCCTTTTTTTCCCTTTAAATAAAATAATTCCAAAAGTTGATTTTATGAATGAGTTCATCTGCAGAGGAAGGGAACGGCATGTGGTAAAACTGGACAACACTGCTTCATTGGTAAAGCACACAGCGTTTCACTACTGAGCATTTCCTCTTAGACTGTAAGCTCACCTTCAGTTCTTCACCAATTAAACTACGTATGTAGCAAAGCAGCCATCAAGCAGAGTCTGCCACCAATATGTTAGAGAAGAGCTGTAAGTTCAAAAGTGAGGTAGATAATAATGCAGATATTTAGTAGGCTGGAAGGGAATGACAGTTTGGGAGGATTTATCAGGGAGCAGATAATACTCTGTTTTGCAGAAGAACTGAAATTATTTTTAGAGAGATACATATGAAGTATTTCTGCACGTGAATTTGCAAATGCCACGTGCACGCACACACAAACATATATATACAAAAATATATATATGCATACATGAAACCCCAAACTTGAGCTAAATTAAATTGTCCCTTCAGCTTTGTAATGCAAATGAGACTAACAGGCTTGTGCTGTTTGTGGTTCGAGATGATTTGCGTCTCCATAGAGATGCTGACTGAAGTTTTAAAATTTTTTATATATATAAGCTTACTTGTATCTATAAAAGACTAAATATGGATCTGCTGTGCCTCAGCATTTCCTCAGTGACTCCACTGGAACCACAACGACCTACACCAGCTAAGGCTATGTGCAAATTCTATGTGTTTCACTACTTTCCAATCTAAGCTCTATACCAAGTACCTGCAGAGCCGGTACTGGTATTGCTTCTCTCCCCAGTCCGAGCTTCTTGGTAAGGAAGTGGAAGAAAAGAGAAAAAGGAGTTTCTTAGCTGCTATTAGATAATATTTCAGGGACTTTTGTAATTCGTTGCCCTCTCTAAACGGCCTGGAGAAACACCTTTGACTTCAAAAGTTCCCACTGTCAGGAAATCTGGAATTCGGGGAAAACAGTCTGTGTGCTTCCAGTGAAGGAAACGCCAAAAGGACAGACTTTCTGTTACATGTCAGAAGACTTTTCCCTTTTCCCCGTAAGCACTCGCAAGCTGAAGGGCCGCGACAGGCTGAGACGAGCCAGGGTGGGCCTGGGCAGCGATGGGGTCACCATCTCCCCGCCTGGGCTCGGTCATCCTCACCCTCTGGTGGAGCCTAAGCCCGTGATACACTACAAGGACCCCACAAAGCTAAGGCTCCTGTTCACCCCCCAGAGCCATGTTAGAGATGGCCACCAGCAGAAGTGACAAAAGCCAGTCAGGGCCAAAGTTTGGGCAAAGAAACCAGGCAGACTGGTTGAACTTTGTATTCCAAATCAGCTTCGCTTTATGAGGTCTGGGTACTGGTTCAAGTGGATGGAGGCCACCCGCTGTACCATCACCCAAGAGGAAAATCAGAGCTGAGCTCTGTGGGAACTCATCTCCATGTGGTTTCAGCGATAGGTGATTTTTGAACAGTGACATGCCAGAGGTCAACCTCTGTCATCGCTCTGAAACACAATCAAAACCAGCCCCCCACGTACCTCCCATCTGCCTGGGCAGAGGCAGGATCCATCCGATGAACCAGACGTGCCCACCGCACACGGAGCAGCAGCTCACACCCAACCTCTCATTTGATCTTAGGAGGGCTCGGAAGGGCAGGCCCGTGGGCAGCGATGCTGCAGGGAGGGTCGACCAGCGAGCTCCTCGGGTGCCAGCGTGTCAAAGGGACGAAACCGCCCTCCCGCCCGCGGGGTGACACCGCGCCTCTGCACATGGCCGTCTCGCCCTTTGGGGCCGATGGTGTTTCTAAGCCCCCACAAAAGTCTCCCTTCAAACCACATGAGAGCTCTTCGATTTCCAGCTTGTAAGAAGCTGTATGGAGGCAGACGTGCCCTGAGCCCCCACAGGCGCCATTTACCCTCCCACACCGCCGCTCAGGAAGGGTCCCAGGGCACACTCGGCCATGTGGCTCCCCGCTCCCCAGGGGAG